TAGATAGATAGATAGATAGATAGATAGATAGATAGATAGATAGATAGTAAAGTAATTCATACCTCATCTGAGTCGAGCAGGACTGGTAGAGCTCTGCAGCAACAAACAGAAACTCTGTTAGATTCACACGTGTCTTATATGAAAACATCTTGCTGGATTCATAAATATGAATTTGATAGGATGATTACATATCCGTAAGAGAGCTAGGAATGTTATCCTCCACCCACTTCAAGTCTTCCTCCTGTAAAAGTGGGGGGAAAAAAGTGTGAATACTGCCATCTGCTGAAATACGGGACACTTGTACAGCTGCCTTTGCTACTTTTTTTGCCGTTTATTTTTAATAAACCGTACTGAATTACACTAATCAACACTGAAATAGTCCAAACCAAGAGTGCAGTTGTGTTACTCACTGGGTTTTTTTCTGCAGGCTTCACTGTGCCATTCGTCTCACTTTTAGATGCTCTCAACTTTATACCATCAGCTGTGAAGAAAAAAAGACGTAGGAAAGAAATATTAAAAGGAGTATGAAAGCACTACTAGACACTCCAAATGTTTGCAGTGTACTGGATAAAGGTTTGCGCTCCCATGATGTTGTCGTACCAAGGTTTGTAGAGGCGACGAATTCCTCAATCTCCTCATCGTCGGAGTCATCAATGAGAGGTGTGAAAGCATACCTGTGGACATGCGAGACTGATAGATTAACAACAAAAGGGTTCAGTTCAATCAGGGTTCATACACATTTTGACCAATGGATTTCCATGACTTTTCCATGACTCTAAACCAAATTTCCATGACCAAATCATTTTGTGAAATCTCGGTGTATACATGAAAAAGTGAGAAAATGTAGTATTTAAACTAACAATGAGAATTCCAAAGCATACAGTATACCCTAAATGACACAAACGAATGAGAGACAATAGTTTGATTAAAAGAATAAACATTTATAAATATACTCTGGTTGACAGGCATTCATAACAGTGACACATCAATAAGAGCTTTAGTAGGTAGTAGCGTCCAGCTAGTGCACATATTGCTTTCCCCTTTGTAGTACAAATTATTCATTGAACCCTGTTACTGTACGGCTTAATATTAACTCCCACTGTTACTGTACAGCTGTTGGAATTGTGGCCTATCTTCTATTTGCAATTAATATGCATTCAATCCAGTTCAATTATTTAAATGAAAATGATAATCTACCCTGGCTATGGTAGTTTATCAAGAGTAAAATAATAGCTGTAATCTATACACTCCTCTGCATTAGCAACCCGCTGAAATGAAGGTACAGGCACCTTAACCCTCTCATTACTTCAGGGTCCTTGAGAGCAACGTGGGACTGTTGGGACACTGGCTGTGTTCATTACAGTGAACGGTGTGTACAGTGTGATGAGAGGGCTGCATGTTTAATCACGTTACGTTTTTTCCTTCTAAAATCGCGATAATGATGAACGTTAACAGTCGACAAAGTTCCGCATGCAGTGGACGTTAACTTAACCCAGCAAGTCTGAACTTTAACGGAACATGACGCAACTTAAACTGTAACGGAGGGAAATGAAGACGCTGTAGACATCTGAACGCTGATTGGCCAAGACTCGTCACATCAAAGATGTTCTATTGCGAAGATCACGACATCACCTTTTCTCCTCATCTCACTCCAATCTGAGAAACGCTGGCTGACAACTCACCGTAAATGAACGACATGAAAATATGAATATAACACATTTCCATGACTTTTCCAAAACTTTTGGGATTTTATTTTTTTCCAATAACCATTTTAAAATTCCATGACTTTTCCAGGTTTTCCATGACCGTATGAACCCTGTCAATTCATGTTGGTGAATTCAACAGTCCCCAATGCACTGCTTGCCTTTGGTTGTTTGCAGACGGTCTCCATAAAAACATTATGACGAACAGAATGATGGAGAACAGGAACCTCCAGAAGGCATCTTCCACCCACAGCTCAATCCAATCCTTTACACACAACAAAAGGGCCAATAATCAATAAAATGTCAATCTATTTATTTTTAACGCAACTACTGATGAATGGGCCGAACCATACTCACAGACTGGCAATATGCAAGCCGGAATTTCTTTGCTATCCAACCCATGAAAATGATGGAAGCTGAGGGAAATAAGGGCAACGTTTGAGACACAACTAATCAGGACTTGTGTTACTTTTCACAGGTAATGTATGGATACAAATATCTAGAAATCATGAACGCTGATTTTCAATACTATGATTGAAAGTGTAGTCGTACCACTCACCAATGACAGCGAATATAAGTGTGTTTGTAAAGTGCCTGTACAGAGACAACTTGACGGGGTTTTTCCTCAGCTTCAGAGTCTTGATGGTTTGAGCCAGGCTGACGAAGATGTTAGTGGCAGTCAAGGTAAACACATGGAAGCTATATTACAAATGATCAATGGGCCCTTATAACCTTCACATGAGTACACACACTATCTATCTTTACCTTTAGAATAAAGTAAGTGTCTACACACTCCTAACTAGGTTTACTTAATAATGTGGACAACTGAAATATATGTAAACAGTATTTTTTGATTTTACGAGCCATTTTCTTATTGTCTAAAAAATAAGTCTTTGTCAAAGTGCTACTTAAGATTGGGCAAAATGACAATGTATACTGTGAAGAGATAGAAATAATAGTAATATTGTTTTTTTAATTAACAATTTTTCAATTGATGTTGCAGAAAATGTGCTATGTTCAAATTTTAAAAGACGTTACAATAGAGCATTTTATCCATATTGCCCACCCTAGTAGTGCACTTTATACATTCTTTAAACAGGAACACCTGTGAAGGGAGGTGGGTAGGCATGCAAATCAATGGCTTCTACCAACTCAGGCCAAGACCGTCCATTAATAGAAACATGGCCTGTGATGTCACCGATTGTACAAGAAAAGAAGCGGTGAGAATGGAGGATTTTAAGAGCAGTTAAATATCAACTAGAAAAAAAAAGGTTGTTAGAACTTTCAGTGGAGGATGAATGATGAATGCAGTGCTGTATGTCTCTCTCTGCTAACTTGTACTTTAAGTGCGCTTTCACTGCTAATCATGGGAAAGGGCTCTAATTTGGGCTCGTGTGAAGGAGGTGAGGAGCAGAGGGGGACCACACAGGGAAAGGTTGTGGGTGCACTAAAGGATATCCACCAGCATAGAGAGGAGTCAAGCAGAGCCAGGGGAATGTTGGCCAGCAGGGCCAAGTCAGAGTCTTTTGCCTAGACGGGAGGACAAAGCAGGACCAAAGGGCACAAGGAAGAGGAGAAAGACGGCAGCAAGGCCAGTAAATTATAGAATCATTCACCAAAATGCAAAGACGAAACTACCAATAATCCAAACCAAGAGGCAAGAAAACCCAGTCCCTTGGGCTCAGTTAGTTAACAAATATGTCCACTTTGTTGTTGCATGAGGGTATAATAACCATTCGTTATTGATGCTGAAAGGATATGAACCAGATGGCGCAGGAGTCAAAAACAGCCAGAACAATTGCTGTAATGAGAGCGGGGCCATTGTCTCGACCCTTGATTTTTGGAGCCCCAACAAATCAAGAAAATACACAAATTGTGATGTCAGTTTTACTTCAAAATACAATCCGACAACAAACCACAACTTTAATACTAATTCTTAATTACTTATCAATGACTCGATTCAGATACTTTATCAAGTTCAGTTTTTATCAGCGAATTTGCCAACTAACACTAGCTGAGTGTTGCACAGAAAAAAGCAACAGTGTTGCTGCAAATAAGGCAACAGAGGAATGCTTACAGAAAATTGATAATCGTGTACATTTGTAGGTTTATTTTACCACTCATTGCACTCTCATTGCCTACAAGACAGCTGCACAGTCTACAAATGTACAGTAAACTTGATGCAGCATATCTTAACATTAGAATTGTATTTAGATCTGACACTGTCCCATTATGACGGATACATGGAAATCACTTTAATTTTGACCAAATCAAAGTGAAATGAATTCTGCTGATTGAATATTATCTGTGATAAATACCATCAGACTCATCGTTTTCTCCACCAGACTACACAACCGATGCTGTGACAGGACGTCCTATTAACAACAACACTCTCATGTTCCCCTAAGGTTCCAGTGATGGGGGTGCAATCTAGTCCACTTATGACCCTAGAGAACCCCATGAAGGAGTTACACAGCATTTAATATACATCACACCGATTCAGAACATAGTGAACTATTAATGTCACACAATGTGATGCACACAGTTTGAGCTTTGTTAAGTGGCATAACTAATGTAACTAATGCATACGACTCAACAGGTTTTGTGTCATATGTTATTGTTGACATCTGCATTGACTGAGCTCCTACTCACCCCAGTAATCCTCAGGACACCTTCAATGCTAGCGAAGGAAAAGTAGAGGATTCCAAGCCCAACAACTCGGTGCATTACTTGCCCGAGTCGAGGTCTGAAATTATACAGACAAAGAGAAAATATAAAAAGTGAATCGCCCGTTTGTACAATAATTTGTGGTTTCAAGTAGCAGCTTTGTGCTCAAATACACGGTGACATACTTTACAATGCCATAGCCCAGGCTGACGATGATGACGAGCAATCGAGCCAAAGTCCTCTTGAGGGCAGAGACCAGCTCGGCGAAGATCAACAAGCCTGGAGCTGAAGGCAACAGAGACGGGTGAACAAATCACACTTGCAAAACATTTTACGATCTCAACGGTAACGATGACCTGGAGACACTCACAGGCAGAGCCTACAGCGTTGGTGTTTTCATATTCGGCACAAAAGACAGCTTTTTCCACCATGCCGAGGAATATGACCCCCGCTATCCAGAACTGGATCCTCAGCAGATCCTTCCAGTAGCACGCTGCCCAGATAAACCACAGCAGGGCGTAGAAGATGTACACCATGCACATGACCATGTAGAACTACAAACAGACAGTATGGGGTTAGTGTATAAACACATATGGAAGCAGTCATCCAACATCTTTTTTATTTTCCCCCACAGAGTGCAGACTACTTGTATAGCTTCAGCGTGATTTGCTAGGATCACATGTTCCTCTTGAGTTTATGAAACAAAATCTTTTGACTCCATTGCATCACTACTAAGATGCACAAACCAAAAACAGCATTTATTACAACCCCCCCCCATAATAGCTAGGAAAGAATCATAATGTACATATATTTTGTAAAAGGGTAAATTCATGTTCATGCAACATAAATCACGTAAAGTCATGTACTTACAATCATGAGAGGCCATTCTGTGACAGAAATGTAGCCATGGGTGCCTTTCATCACCACGTTAACTACAAAATAAAACCCAAACATTAAACCAATATTCACAACACGTTAACAGTTTTTTTTTTTCTGGTTGTGATTAGGGAAGTAAATTCTGCACATTCATGCAACACCAACCAACCAACTCATGCTTTCAACTGTATTTCTATGCAGAGTACATGAATACAGGGTGTTGAGGTTCCTCTAAGCCAGTCACACAACATTTTAGTTGCACATGAAACATATCTCACCTGTTAAATTCCAGTTGGCTTCCGGTTTACTGGACACAATCTTAACAACCAGCAGGTACGGCCCGTCCTTCCACGTGGTGGCTATGACGTTGTCTTGGATATTTACAGTGCTGTTGCTGTCATATTCCTCAGTAATCCATCTGGGGTCTTTTTCATCCTGCAGTATCACAAAAGTGGTGCAGTGTTTATCACCAATTTAAAAAAAATGAATACTATGTTTGTGCAAGCCGTGTAAAGAAACACACTAAACAAAGACTCTGAATGCTGTCAGGTTCTGTTTATTGTTACTTTTCAGGAATATCTTTTTCTTACATCTTTGCCTACTTTAACTTACACTATTCTACTAAAAATAAAGAGTATTTATGTTTTCTTACAGGCACTTCACCCTTAACAGGTGGACTGACTGGACGTGGCTCTGCCTTGGCTTTCTGAAAAACACAGACAGTTACCGAATGCTGAGAGATAATAAACGCCATGATGCATGCGTGTGTGTGACCAATGTCACAAACCTACTCTGAGCACTGATAAGGAGTGCAGGCCATTGTTACACGGTATGGGGCTGTGTTTGTGTTCGATGAACTCCCCTTGTCCCAGGGGATTTTGATCCAGGCCCTCCCCACGACTCAGAGGTGTTCTGCCATACATTTCCTTCAGACAATGACAGTCACAACTCAGCTTTCACAAAACACTCAAGGCTAGATAGACAAGACCGTCAGATGATTAGCATTTAAGCTTATGTACTTACGTCAATATTGTTGAATTCATTGTGACAGGGGTAGTATTTTAAATACCAGTGAATAGAGAAGGTCACCGCCTCAGGACAGCCAAAACGCACAACTAAAAGATGAGGACACGAAGCGACGATAAGCACAAGGGACAAAAAGGACCCATTCTTTAATGAGTCATCAGCACTTTCTCCACGTCTTACCTTTCAATTCAATGTCTGTGTCTTTATACATGGATTTTCTTAACAGCAGTGGTCTTGAGGTCTGCAGGATGGATCATTAAAAAAAAGATTGTTTTTCTTATTGATTAATACATTAGTTTATAATAGGTTTGAACTGATTCGTGGTTCGAACGCAACCCTCTGTGTTTGTGAAGCAGAGAAAAGGCCTGCGGGTCAGGTGGATCAGAAACTGTAATACTGTCCATGTCTGTCTCAGGTCTGTCACAGACTGGTAACCTCTCCAGGTTTCACCCTGCACACCTAATAGTGCAACTAGAAACAGAGACAGCAACAGAAGGAATTTGAAACTTCTCGATACTTAAATTATTGATCGAGGCTTTCTAGTTCTCCTTGGATTGAATCTGGGAACTATGTCTTAATACTGAGAGAGAAGAGGAGCGACTGCACTGTGCAAGCACTTCATTTTAATGCAACTTTCAGGGTGTGGTTCCGTGTATAGTACAGCAATAATGTGTTGAAAGTTGGTGATAAAAGGAGCTCAGACCGAGATGAGGGAACTCAGTTGAACTACAAAGAGTCGTTGGACAGCTGTACAACATAGCTAAACTGTAGCCAGCTAGTTAGCCGACGGCTAACCTTCTCCATAAGGTGCATGCTAATTAGCCAACAACACACTCTGCTCTTTCGGCAGGCACACTTTATCCATGTCTATTAAGGATAAGAAGTCCTAGTCAAGAGTGGTTAACACGATTAACGCAGGAAGGATTACACTGTACCCACACTGGCAGCTCATAGCGAGCGAGCATAACAAGGCTAATGTAGCTAACGTTAGCTAACCGGTGCTGCAGTTATCCAGTGTTTCCGCTACAATACTCACATTTACAACTGTGATTTTCCAAAGCCCCGTCTCTGGCGCTGCATTGACTGCATGTATGGTACTGAATACAACTAAAAAAAGCACTGCCCAAGGGTAGAAAACTCCTCTGGTCGGACAGCTCCACGTCCTCATCCTGACAGCAGCAGCCATGTCGGTGTGGGAGTGAACATCACTTCCCTGCAGGCGGCGCCGTGAACCACCGAAGGAGGGTTTTCACTTTTACACATTGATCACCCGTCCCAGCGTGGCGTTTGACTGCTCTTTTTATTGCAAAAACACATGCCTGCTAGAGCCGCAGGTTTACTATTAGCCTGTGGATTTATATTGGAGACAGAAGGATGAACTATACTTGCTCCTTGTCAGCTAAACTTCAAACCTAGTGACCTAGACCAGGAAGCATAATACAAACAATAACCTCAACTTTTTTTACAATACAGTTTACAGTACATCACCGTTTTTGAAGTGCTGGCATTTACCTGATTAATTATAATTTTGTGACAATTTGCTTTCAACTCAAAACTACAAAATACTAATTAGGTCTACGTCACATACTTAATATGTACACGACATATCCACATTTACTGGGGATTACATTCCTATGCATGTATAGATTAATTGCATATAGTTGCATGTATAGATTAATTGCATAGTTGTTCTCAATACTGATCTATGCAATTCTAATGATTACCTACACTTGCATTTTACCAGGCACTATCATTGAATTATATTGAACCTCATTCTTAGTTCAGTCTCTAGTTGGAATTAACATACGTTCTTGCACTTAAATATTTTAGTGCAGTTCTTTTCATAGCATATGATGTATAGCTGCCACCTTTTACTTTTACTACATTTACTTGTATTATTATTTAGATTTACATGATAGTATAGACACCGTCACCAATGTGAAGGAATCTGTGAATCTTGACAAAATGTATCTTGAATCTGAATTGATGAGTCTTGAATAAATCTTCAAATCATATATTTCTTTACAGTAGATAAGATCACTTTACAAATCTGTATATTTCTATATTTACATTGCAACACAAAATCCAATACAGTAAATAATTTCACAGTTCAGTGTATCTTGAGCTTAGGGCACATGCATGAACATGTTGGATGTTGACACACACGGACAACATTCCTAACACTGACATGTAAACTGGCCATGTATGGCACGAACTGCTTGTCCAGTAAGTCCACATCAGGAAATGTCAAGGTGCTCGCAGTGCAATGAGGCGTACTGTTTTGTACTGACGAACCATGGTGATAGTTTTATTACAGTTTTGATCTGCTGGGTACCAATCTTTACAGCAGGAAAGAGGTGTCACTTGAGCTGTGATCCATCGCCGTCACGTCAGTAACTGTGTCTCCATTTGCTTGACTTAAAGCATCACTTGACAAAAGAGGAGTGTCCACTGTAGGAGATCTCATGGAAGGATCAGAGGAGATCACCACCACATAACGATCATCCTCCTCATCCTCCATGCTCCCGTGAATGTCCGCAATGACTACGGATTCTTGATGGCTGCAGGAAGGTGACGAGTTGAACACAGGATGTTCTGCAGGCGTCCCTCCATCGGGGTCCTCTTCAGGAAAGCTGGTGTTGATATAGATGATGTCGTCCTTGCTGAAAGACTCCGGCAGCTTTTTTGTGAGCTTTTCTAACATTTCCCGCAGTTGGGTAAAGACGGGACGGTCCAGCGGATCGGCCCTCCAGCAGCTGTACATGATCTCATACCTAGACGCAAGTTAATAGAGGAAATAACTAATTTCATTTCTTAAAACCTCAACTTTGAAAAAAACACCTTTTCAAGTTGTATATTCAGTTTCTAATTTCACTACACATGTCAGTGGTGAGAAAATCAGGCCAGTTTTAAACGTTTTGAGGACTGATGTTGTTTGCTGGACTGGATGTGAGCCAGAATAAGGAGAAGTGAAACAAATGATGTACTTTACATCAGGACTTTAAGTGCAAAACAACTTGTGATGCAACGTAGAAAATAAGGGAGGACTGATATCAGGTGGTTGTATAGTGGGACCTTAGCTCCGACCCATGCAAGAGACTGCATTTTAGTTACAAATAATTATCAAAACATTTTGGGGATCATTTTAAGGGTGAAAAAGCTTGCAAAATAAATTTTAATTGTTAATTTATTAAGGTCCCCAATTCTATTCCTTAAAATGATCCCCATTCCTGCAAGGTTTAGACAAACTGTTCACCTCCAACACAATCAATAGTCAATACTTGTGTCAAAGAGACAACACTCACAGCTCATCCAAACAGTCTCCTGGCTGCTTCAGTCGCTGTCCTTCAAGAAGGTAGTCATAGATTTCATGGTTCTGGATGCCGGGGTACGGCGTCATGCCTCGTGTAGCGATCTCCCACATGGTAACGCCAAATGCCCACTGCATGACACAGAATATCAACTTCAGATGATATTTCATTATGTGAAAAACTTGTTTTCTGTTTTTTCTTCTATCTAGAAATACTATTAATATCCTAGAATACCCCGTACCCTCAAAATGTGCTGATGAAAGTATGCTGCAAATGATTTCAAAATGATAAACTACATTTGTATTTGTAGTCCACTACAATTGTGTGATTTTTTTTTATGTATTCAGTTTCTCTTTTCATTTCCATTTTTCATAAACAGATTTGTGTTTTACGTTACAATATGTGGTGTAAACATATCTTTTCCCTCTTCAGTTGTATGAATTCAGATTTTTTTTGACAACAACACAAAATATGACACTTCAGGAAACTGGGTTTCAATCTACAATGTACTACTTTTAAAGTTCTAACATTTCACAAGCAGGGAAACATTGCAAAAGAAGGTAACATCCTAAAATGACCATGATTGATAAATAGTGCAAGAAAAACTTGACCACAACCTTAAAAGGAAGGCTGAGTAATCAGAGCTGCTCTTGTTACTGAGACAGGAGCACATGGAGGTACTTACCACATCACTCTTTACAGTAAAAAGTCTGTCTGCCAGACTCTCTACTGCAATCCATTTCACAGGCATTTTGGCTATTCTTCCCTGCCTGTAATAATCTCCACTGTAGATCTTCTTAGATAAACCGAAGTCTGCTACACACACAGTCATGTCATCACGCAGCCTGTAAGACAAACGAGGTATGGACTTGAGAATAAAGAGGAACAGCAAATCACATCAGCCTCCTAAAGAAGCAAACTGACCTTTATAAGTTTCGGCTTTAATCTAAAAGCGACTATTAAAAAAAGAAAGTTTTGAACTTTCAACCTACATGCAGTTGCGAGCTGCCAGGTCACGATGCAGAAAGTTACGACCACTGAGATACTCCATACCCAAAGCAATGTCGACCATGAACTTCAGGAGTGTCTGAGTGGGCAAGAACTGTGTAAAAAACACACAACAAAATAACAATTATAGGTTTAGTCTTTCAATGATAATATATCATATGAGCTGCCGGCAATATATTGTCTGTTTGGCAGGAATCTTACCACTGGCCTTTCTCCCAGGCGTGAGCGCAGCAGGAAGCTATGAAGATCTCCATATTTCATGAATGGCAGGATGACCATCGGCTTGGGAAAATGTCCTGCGCCTACTTCCAAGCACACACCTAAAGTAGACAAGTCAATAGACAGAAATAATGTAAGGACGGGCAAGCAGGTAAGAGAGTAGTGGGATTCTACAATACTTTTAAGAGGTAATAATACGTCACTTGTACCGAGCAGTCTGATGACATTAAGATGGTTAAAATCCTTCATGCAGGCTGCCTCATTCAGGAACTCTTCAATCTCCCTTTGAGAGAAGCTTTCCACTGTTTGAAGAAAGAACATAGAAAATGATCTGCCGTTTCTACCTGTTTTGGTTTATAAATGACCAAAAGATGTCTTTTAGTAATAGAAAGCTTACGTTTCATCGTTTTCACAGCAACTTTCTCTGATCTTCCATCTGGTCGTTGTAAATGTCCCTCCATCACGGAGCCAAATTCACCTGATCAAATGGAGTCATAAGTACTTCATACTCTGCACAGTATGTGTTGTTATCTGTATTAACCGAGAGATAATGGCTAAATAAATGTTCACTCACCCTCTCCAAGAACCTTCCCTATGGAGAGCAAGTTCCTCATGACCATCACGTCCTGAAGTTTGGCCTGGAGTTCATCACTAATACCAAGGTTCCCAACTGCAGACAGGACCCACTCAAGTTATTGCGTATTTAGAAATGTGCCTTTAGCAGGACAACATCAATCACTGCATACATGTTCATTTTCCACAATAATATTCAAGAACATACATGTGATTCCTATGCCTGATCGATTGTAGGACCTCTCGGGTGTGTACTGCACAAAAGGCTGCTGCTTTTCTCCACCTCCAAACACTCGCCTGCAGGGGGGGACAGGGAAAGAGAAGAAATGAGAATGCTGAACAATGAGCTAATTCTCTCACTAACGTCATGAGAGCTGTAATCATGCAAACACAGGCTGAGATTCAACTGAAGGGGTGGTAATAGTGAGGAAACCCTCTGAGTTGTTGCTTTCCTGACTTTGAGGTTACATACTGTTTTCCTATCTGGGTGGCAGCCTGTGACACATTCCTATCCATATCCTGATTGGCAATACTGAGTCACAGACTTCATAATAATGAACTCCAGAGAATTATCAGCTGCTTGTTGTTCATTTCTCCAGCTGCACAGTTATTACAGGACTCAGGTGCAGACAATGGTGATTAAGAGGAAGCAATGGCAGTTTATTAACAGAGTCCGGAAGTGTTCACTTTTTCAAGTCTTACAATATTGTACCATTGCCGAATATCACTCAACTCCAGAAGCAAGACAATGAACTACAACATCTATAATTTTATGTTTTTAAAGCAAAGTCAAACCACGTAGACAAATGGGTCACAAATACGGTTATCTGCTGCAACTTCAAAGAAAAGACAATAACACTTGGATCAAGGTTGGTAATGAAATCCACATTGTGTTTGCACAGAAGATAGTCTGCATACCCAAACCAAGATGCAGAAGTCCTGTTGTGTACACAGATACCCGCCCAGATGATAAACAGCAGAAGACAGACGCTACACATGACGCCCAGCACAACATAGAAAGAGTCTGGAACGCTGGTGTCAGGGCTGGACGATGGGGGCACCACTGATTCTGAGATAGGAATAAAAAAGGATATGCATGACCAAATTTTAGTACACAACATTCAGCAAATGGGACATCCAATATGTCAGCTCATGTTCGTTTATTTTTTCCACAAAATTAAGATTATTGTAACAAGTCAAGAGATAAATTGTTTCAATGTGAATCGATGAGGATATGTGATTGATCCCAATGTGTAACTGTAAGCAGCTTCAGTCTTCGGTATTTTCTGCCATAACTGTTTATTAATCAATAGAGTGCTGCAGGAATGAGTCCTAAAAGCCGGAAATTATTCAGCATTTCAGCACTTCCGGTTCCCGTGTCTCAAAGTCAATGTGTTTTTTGAATGGAATTTTTGGTTACATGCCTGAAATAACGTCAGTGGTGTAAAATACGTCAGTAGATACCTCTCGAGATTTTTTAGGTTTTTATATGTTTTAAAAAAGGCGGTTGCTGACAAGAGGCTGAATGAGACTACAAAACTTCTTCCATACCGACTAGTCCGCCTTCTCAGCCTTATCGTGTTTACTCGCACACATGCGACTGTGGTGTAATTTGTTTATAGCCAAAGTTAAATTTGAACTTTAATCATAAATTTGTGTTTGCCACAGTTTATTTTCTGCAATAATCCAAAATCCAATGGAAAAATCCCATTGGCTATTTGTCGAGGGAATCAGTGTGATGCCAACGCCCGGTGTGGGCCAACAAAAATACGTCATCTCTGCAGCACTCTATTACATCTTGAAAACAATTAACTAGTTTCCAAACTATTGTTTTGAAAATGTCCAAGATACTCCTGCCTGATCAAGTTGTATTTATTTTAAACAAAACTTTGTCCCAAACTTAAACAATAGTCTACAGCAATGTTAGTGGCACTATGAGGCACATATAGGCACAGCGTTGAGCTAAATGCTAAAATCACAATGACAACATTAGTATGCTAATTGTTCTAGAATATTAAAATACAACAGCTGAACTTGATGAGGTAAATCAATGGAGCAGCTTACTGTCCTCTGGCACAAACAGCCAGACTCGTGGGCTGACCATGCCGCTCCCTGCCTGCGTGCACGCAGCCACCTCCACACTGTAGGTTGTGTTGAATTCCTGCACATCTACAAAGGCCACGGTGTTGTAACTGTGGCTCTGAAATAACACACAGCATAACAACAGAGGCAATTTAAATGCGTCGAATTTTAGATTCCTCCTAAAAACATATTACAAAGGTTCATCCTTATCTCTGTGGAGTTCAACTTGTTGTTAGAAGAACATACTGTCGGTCACAAGCTAAAGCAAGTTTTAATGGGACAGTAAGGTAAATCATTAAACTGAAGTAGAAGCCGATTCTCCATGAAAAGAGATAGTATTTTGGGGAACAGCATGCGAAGGAACGTCTTGTACATTTGTGCAACATCTCAAATACGGGTCAATAACTTTGCTGCATGTCATGTCCTTTCTCTCACCATGTCTTCTTTTATCTCATTTCAACTTAGAGCTTAGAAACTGAGAAAAATTAAAGCTTTTTGGAAAATACCAGAGAAGTGTATAATGGACATCTTCATATATAATGAAACTGCCTACAAAAAGGGAAGGAGACCAACTTTCTGGAGGGGCTCATGTGCTGCAATGGGAAAGAACATGTGACGGAGGTAGTGCTGTATTTCACAACACCAAATGGTGGTGTTCCTCTCTTTACCAATGTGCTGACGGGCCGGACTGGGCACACTGAACCCATGATTAATGATGGATTAATTAATTCATGTCTGTGGCACCAAACAGAGCTCATCGTGTCAACATTAGATTCAAAAGAAGACACCAAGACTTCAACCATGAAACACACATAATTATGAGCAAGAAATAGTTATTTCTCTAACTTAGTTCACCATACGGCGGTTTTAGGGGCAGGTGGGATTGACGATTGATTAAGCAGCATTTGCTCACATTTACAGTCACTGCTAATATTACAAAGCCTATGTGTAATAGCACATCACCAACTGGACAACGCATAAGGGTATTTGCACCTATAGTACACATCCCGTTGTATTCATAATCCTTTCACTCTAAGATGACTCAAAGCCACATGCTGAACAAAGAAAAACAGTTTTCACACCATCAGCTTCCTTTAACCACGACACAGACAGGAAGGACGGGAAACACACTATTGTACCAGAGAGTACGTATGCAATGACAGAAGAGCTACTACTCACAAACAGCATCATGGAATAATGCACCGGACAACTGATGTACTCAAAAGAAGTTGTTAATAAACTGTGAGTGTATCTAAAAAAAAGGCACTTCTGGTAAATGACTTGGTGGAGAAACTGTTGTTCAGAGATAACAGGGAAGCTGACGTCTGGTTCAGTAGGCAGGACAAAGGGAAGATCACATATTCCCAATATGTGAGAGGCATTCTTTTCATATTTGTCATAAATGAGTCATTGTTATCAGAAATGTTAAAAAAAACATCAGCATTCTCAAAGAAGAGAGAAATATGCGCACATGTAGCCTTTGTATGTGCATATGTATATCTATAAAGAAAGGGAAATATGAAAATGGTTACTTACGAACTAAACAATTTACATTTGTCTTCAGTTCGCTTGGTAAGTTGCTACTAACTTTCTGTGTTTTAAAGTTATTGTTAAAGCTACATAAACCAGGATGAACTTAAGAAAACATTCATCACAAAAAGGGCTAGATCTTTAATTACCATGCTGTCGGCAAGCTTACCTTGTATAAGTGTGTGCCATGTCTGACAATAACATCATAACCACGCAGGATGCCATTTATCTTATCATCCGGAGGAGGTTTCCACCTGATCACCAGCCAAGACTCATTCAGCTGTGCGGTGACATTTCGAGGATAAACTGATGGCACTGAGAATGTGACAAGAAATGGGAATCAGAGGGATTAACACTGTCAAGAGTGGTAAAAAAAAATAAAAAATCAAGAGACTAACATATAAAATTGCAACCTATAAAACAAAATTGAAAAAGAGAAAGTAAGACTGCCCCACTATAAAAATCTTTGATTACAGTTTGGTATGTGGTCACTTCCTGGCACAGCATATCAAATCTTTCAACTAAAATATCCCCTGCGGTGGCTTTAGGAAGGAAATTGAAAGCAGCTCCACCCAGTTGGAGCTTTGTGTTTTCTCAGTGAGACCATTCCTATTTCCTATGTGACCCTTCAGGAAAACAACAGAGATTTTAGTGGATATGACATTTTTTCTGAAGGGGACTTGCCAACAGTAGAGCAGGTAGTTGTGCAACTTCCGTAAATTCCAGTTATGACATTCTGCTACTGCAGGGAGGCTTACATTAAGCACATTTTAGATGTGAAAGTAGGCTAATTACATAGTGCTACGTTCCTCAAACCTAAACAGAAAAGCTGCTATGATGAGAAGGAGGCAGCAGCATAACACAGAGGTTCTTATTAAATAGGCAATGTGGTTCTTATAGCAAATACAGTCTCAGCCTTGTGAATTCAAACAGCCAGAAATGTGTGTATGTGCTGGGATGGACTGAATTCAATTTTGGATAATTTTGCTGTGTTGCAGGCCCATATCAACGGCTGCACCCCAGATCTCCTGGTGTACCACCAACTGGCAACAGCATTCAACCTGTAAATTGTCCCAAAGTTCCTTTAGTACTAACACACCTCCCTCTGTGGTGTTGCTCTGGATCCACATGGTGACCGGAGAGGCTCCCACCTCATTGCTGCACGAAACGCTCATGTTGTACCAAGTCATCGCCTGTAGCCCGGGGACTTCGCACTGGAAAGGCGGCACTGTGACGTTGATGTACCTGGTAGTCGTCACTTCCCCTTGCCTCCGACTCACCTCTTTAACCTTAGATGGAACAAAGAAAGGGTGAGGATCAATCGGAAGACATTTAGCGACAGCACTGTTTCTGCAGATGTGGGGCTTACCCTGATGTGGCATTTAGTCAGTGGAGAGAAACCATCATCTCCGGGGCTCCAGCTCAACATTAACTTATTGGACTGCCTCTCCATCACAGTAACATTAGACACAGGGTCAGGAAGCACTGCAAAACACCATTAAAAAAATGTATTGACTCGCTAACATGGAGGCATATGGTCAGCTTGCAGAGCATGAAAACCTTGTGGGATGTCTAACAGTCCCCCAAAAGACCAAGTTTTACCTTTGATGTTGACGTTGGCTTCTCTGGAGGTGGTGAGACCCTTCGGATTGTGAGCTTCGCAGCTGAACTGAGTGTACTTGTCCACACCTGCAATTGAGACATTTCAAAGCACAATGTAGTACTCCAATACGGTATGAATATAAAACAATCAGTCATCAAGGTCAAGATGGAGCTGAATATTTTGATAATGGTGTTATTATACTTCAATACTGGGGGTAAAAACCTGAAGAACAAGGCAGCCAGAAACAGTCTGGTTCTTTGTTTGAACAAACAAAGCGATTTATCTCTGTGTCAAAAGCCAATCTGGGGCAAAAGTTCAATGTTAGCCTCGATAGAGAAGCTAGAATGAAACTGATAACAAAAGAGACATTTGGGAATAACTCACTCCTTTATTATACCTCAAATGTTCACACAGTAGCACCTAATGCAGTAAGCTCAAATTGAGCCTCTCCAGTGTGATGTACTGTGGTAACCATGCTTTTGCTGGGTCCCTTTTCCTGGATGCACAATTACTGTCTTTCAACAGCCACAGATCTGCCCAGCTAGAATAGAACTGGGACAGCTGCTAAATAATGTCCCTTTTGTGCTCTGTTTTCCAGCGTCTCTATCTCAGAAACCTTTCCACAAAGCTAATCACAGAGCAGCCTGTGCGAGATGACTGGAAACAACTTGGGATGTTTTGTTTACATTCTGCAGAATGCTACGTCTTCGTAAGTTTGCCTTCGTCTGCTCGGGGAGCACCAGGGTAAAGAGCGCTTCACTTTTCACACAAACACTGACTGCAATCTGCTTGTTGCACAAAGATAGAGCCGGACTTAAAATAGGTATGATTAAGTCATTCGTGACATAAATCATTTTCATTCACATGACAAAAACATCTAAAATAAATTTGGTATCACATGGATCAAAACTGAATGTCAAAACTAAGAGAAATGTGCAAATATATCAGTGCATTTCCAGCCAGGCTGTGCAGATGTAACTACCACATGCCTCATTTTAAACTGCATGGCAAACAAAGTGACAACAGGAAAAAAAACAATTTAGTAAATGTCACAACACCATTTACTTTAAAGTGAAAAAAATCTAAAAGTCCTAAAAATTCAGCAGTCCCTATCGGGTTGAAACAGTGCTGCATATAGTCTGTCCTGATTTTTGTATGACAACAAAGCAGTGGTGTATGCTGCAGAGGTGGTTCCATAAATTGATTCTCCACCCAGCATCTACAGTAGAGCGTCGATCATATTATCTCATGGCTCATTAAAGAAACAAATTAATTTTAAGTCATATCATTTTTAGAAAAGGAAATGAGTAAAGGTCAAGCACTGCTTTCACTTTACTTGGCAAGGAACTGAACAAAAAAAAAAAACACTGCAATAAAAATAGATGGCTTGGCAACTATAATGGAAACATCACAAATTACAGAGGAAAGCTCTCCAGCTTACTGAGCTGCCTATTTTTCCATTTTTCTGCTATATTTTTCAGCAAATAGAGTCAAACTACTCCGTCGGGTTACAAGTAAGCCTGTGACTTTTCAGTCTTGATTACTGTGCACCACATTTATGTTCATCAGTATAGTTTGTCTTCTCAAAGCTAAAGTGCCAAACCTGTGTTCACCTGCTGTTCTGAGATTGATAAACAATGTCATGTGGATAAGCAGTCTTTCATTAACCCAAATTAAATCCCTGTCTCCTTCATATCTCTTTAAGAAGGTATAATGCCCCGTTTTCAAGCAATCTGAATGATGAGTGCATGCTAACAAAATCATGCACCACTTCACATCACAAAAGCACTCTGATAATATCATGGGATCCAAGCTGTCGCGGAAAAAGGGGCCCTAGACACATAGCATGCATGAGGTGCGTAAAAGTGGGGTTACACTGTTCTGTTGTGCCAATATTTGATCCTGCAAAGAGCTCTGGAAGCCCGCAGCCTGCCAGCCTCTGTGTCCAGCCCCTCCCTGCTGGGTAGTGGGCCGTCCCATGAATGAGGTCTTTGTCCCCGGAGCCAACCCCCGAACACACTCCCTGTGTAGCCCCCCCATACCCTTACTGCCCAGTCCCTTGCACATGCTGGACCAAAGCACAGCTCTGAACCTTTAACCCCTCAGCTTCGGGCTGACTACAGCAGCAGGGTTTATTTTCACTAAAAATGAATATACAGAACAGAAACGTTTTGCTTCTATCAACAAATGTTTTGGTTTTAGAAGAGGGCAGCTGAGGGCATAAAGGGAGAGTCCAAGTTGAAAAGAAAAGTTATATAATTTAAAGAAAATTCCATGGTCATGTTGCTACAAACAGTCTAGTAATTATATTCATAAAAAAAAACAAGTCACATATATCACATGAGAGTGATATATCAAACTTCTCATCTAACTCTCGCTAAGAAAGTGAATAAGCATATTTCCCTAAATATCAAACTATGGCTATAATTAGACAGTAGGTGTTGCATTTCCAAAGTTTGGTTATTCTCTACATGTCACATTTTCTTCAGTATACACCAAGCAGAGTGGCGTTACAAAAAGCTCTGACCATGCATGAATGACCACTGTTAACCATTCAGCAGGGCTGCAGGAGGCCCTTGTGACACTGACCCTGGTGATGAATCTCATTGCAGTAAGCAGGCTATAGATGCTGAGGCAGCAGAGACGAGGCAGAATAGAAACCACATACAAAGTGATACTAGCCGAGTGAGATCTGCGCCGCGTTCTGTCACCATCATCAGAGCCAAATGTCCCTTTGAATGTGTCCACATTAAATCACAGCAGCAAGTTAACCAAAGTGAAACTAATTCATTGGTTTGATAAGCCGTAACTTGTGTGTTCCTTCTAGTTTCCTACTTTTACAACTTCTTTATAAGCCAGAAGTTCCTTTTTGAAAACAACACAAAATTTGTCTCAGATGTGTGGTTTCACTTTGATGTAACCACAACTCTGATGTGTCAGTTCTTCTTTAGTTTTTTGGTAAATGACCTTGGACAAAGGACTGTTAGTAGAACTGTTATGGCAGGAAAGTTTGTCAGGATGTTGATGATGTGTTCTTTTTATCTGCAGCACATATTATCAACCAAATACAGATATATTTCAGATATTTCACTGGTGTAAGATGAACAGCAATAAATTACACCTCTCTTTAGAGACCACCTCAACAGGAACAGGCAACAAGAAGGAAGCAGAATAGTCGTTATTAAGTAGATCACTGTGAAACATCTCTGTATGTGTGAGAAACAGACAGAGACTTTGTAGTTGGTTGTCTCACCTGACACAGAGTAGTTGCTGGAAGAGTTATGAAAGTCACTATAAGGTAATCCATCGCGAAGCCAGCGGATTCTAACGGGGTCCGGAGGTCCGACCGCATCACATAACAATGTGAAAGGTGTGTTTCTTGTTACATTTCTGTCCTCCGGTTGATGGATAAATGTCGGCAGACCTATGGACAGATTAAAGACGTGTCATGAAAAAATGTGGACGCCCTGAAAAGCACCCAATTTTGGCACCATGTGGAAACTCACCTTCCACCTCAATGGTGATGGGCCGAGACTCTACCATTGTGGTGCTGATGTTCAGTCTGCAGCGATACTCCCCAGCATCCACTCGCTGCACTCTGTTAATGCTGTAATACAGTACACAAAGACACTTGTCAATCTGTGTATTCAGCACCTCACACTACTTTTCAACTCCATGTGTTACCTACCTGACAGTGGAGAATAGAGTGATGACCACGTCTGTGACGGTCTGGAGCTCGTTGATCACCACCTGTGAGTTTGCCGCCAGGTCCAGGCCGTTCTTCATCCAGAGGATGGTGGGCTCCAGCCTGGCATCGGGGATGTCGATGGAGCAGTTGAATTTAGCCTTATGGCCCTCTGACAGCTGGATGGAGCCGATGGTGGGCTTAAAATGCAGCCGTCTGAGCTGATCCGGGTTCAGATAGACCCTTGAAATGCGGCCCGGTATCACCAGAGGCTCAGAGGTCCTGGTGGGACGATGGAACCGGCCCCTCAAATGCTGAGCTGTTTACAGACAGAGATGTTAGGTCAACACAATGTTCTACCTGCATGGGAGTTGAGGTCGGATATGATACACATCAAAGATTTGACACCAAATGGGACAGAACTGGGCATGTGTTACATCCAGAATGCTCACAAAACCACCATAAAGTAGCATTTAAACATCATGAGTATGTGACAGTTTTAGGGGTGCATCAAATTATAACTTTCATGATAGATGAGACGACCGTGGCTAAGTGGAGAGCCAGGCCATGCTTCAATCAGAGGATTGGCGGTTCGATCCCCTCCGCTAGTCGTATGTAGATGTGTCCTTGGGCAAGACACTTAACCCCAAAATTGCTCCGGTAGCAGTGCCTACGGAGTATGAATCTGAAATGTAAGTCGCTCTGGATAAAAGCATCTGCTAAATGACTGTAATGTAGATTTATCTGTCTATTATTTTTTCAAATAATCAATTAATCATTATAAAATGTCAGAAAATTGTGAAATTGCTTCTTTTGTTTAACCAACAGCTGTAAACTCAATAAAGCAAATATGCAGAGCAAAGCAGCATTTGAGAAACTTGAACCAATGAATGTTTGGACTTTGTGGCTAAAAAGAATAAATCCTGCCTCAACTTCACCAATCATTGATCAACTGAACTCCATCATCGATAACCTATCTCCCTCAACCTTTTCGTTTACATGGTCAGCTTGGAAGAGTTTCAACTACTTCCTTGACGCAACCAGAACATCATAACCGTCCCGTCGTTCAATCTCGTCCCATTACCTATTCGTTATATTGGCCCATTCCCAAAAACTCAAAACTTACCTAGGTGGAACAGGCTTCTTCTCTAAACTCTCATGCAGTAACCCGAGCCTGGCCTCCAGCCATCCTTACTATCTAACCTATTCCATAACATCACTCTCACAGGTCTTCTGCGCAAAGAGCCTGCTCAAAAATCCTAGCCGCGATGGGATGCAATAATCCTCACATTGCTCGGACCTTAGCAGCAACTTTCTTGCCCGCCTATTTCACCTGCCTCAGAGGTTCCGAGTTCTCCACCTCATACCATCACTTCGATTAATGTTGTCCCCTTCCTTTGTAGAGGTTGGACAAATACCTACCTTCACTGCATATGCCCACATCATAAAGATCTCAACTCCGGTCAATCTAGTATTAAGTAACATGGGGTTAGCCCCCCACAAAGCCCCCCACAACTCATTTGGCTACACGAAGTTCAAGCCTCGCATCTCAATCACGTCTATCTTTAATAAATATGTTAAACGTTTCTATTTGATGGTGTGGTCATGGCTAGTAAATTGAAGATACCTATCAGAATTTCAGGAGCAGGACCTCTCCTCAACCCTGGCAGTTCTTGTACATCCACAAATACCTGCCTAACCAGTACACTCTCGTATCGTTGGTATAACCCCCCCCCCCCATTTTCTCTCTCTTCCTCCCTCCTCTCCTCGCATCTGAATCACATCTACCTTTAATAAATATGTTAAACGTTTCTATTTGATGGTGTGGTCCTTGCAAGTGAATAGTGAAATTAAGCCCCAAAATAAAATAATACAAAACGAGTGTATCGAGTCGATACACTCGTTTTGTATTATTTTATTAACCATTTATAGTTTCAAATGCTTTTCAACATGTATGAAGTAGGCTATGGCTCTTTAACAAATTTGTATTTTGAAGTGTTATTTCTGTCACCATTCCAGTCCACGACCAATACCACAGTGTGTAATTAAAAAGAAGCGACAGAAGCCTCCGCATTTAGTGCTATGAGACGAACTCAGGAATGTGCTGTATGTATACTTTGTATGTAGGTCTACAAAGAATATCTTTAACGAGTATGTAATGTACATGAATATTTAAATATATTCCAGCTGAGAAGAGAACACCTCTCTGCTGCTGCACATTGAATCGAGTTTAGACTGAGATGTCACTGTGAACGGCATGAAGTTAGTGCAGGAAAACCTCCAAGTAAGTAAACAACTCACCGCTGACCGGACTCCCCACAATAACGGCTATGATCGTCGTAGAGAGAAAAACTCCAAACCAGCCTGGAGTTGACTTCTTTGCCATGACCTGTCTGAGCTCTTCGCGGCTGCTTTCTGTCCCGCAACAGACTGAAAATGTGTTTTATTCTAGGCGGATTGCGCGGGACGCGGCACTATATCACCGACAACAACCAACATTGCCCGATAGGCTTCAACGCAGCTTGTGTTGACCAGAGATCACGTCCAGCTGGAGAGAGAGAAAAAAGTGAACTTTTCTCCACGTTACAGGAGGGATCCCATGAAGGCGGGACTGAATGCACCGAAATACTGAAAACAACCAAAATACAAAACATGCAACAGCAGATCACAGACACTCAACACAACTATTGCAAAGTCACACTAGTTTATATATTTTTATTTTTCAATATCTTGTTGTCTTCTTCTCCTTCTTTGAGACAGAAATATTATGTTACAACAAGCATTATACACAAGTGTGTAGCCTATAACAACACATACATTAACACGGCATGTGATACATTTTATTTTCAACATGTTCACAACTATTAAAAGAAAAACAAAAAACCTGGTGGCATACTTAAATTGTCTGCCCAACATCTCCACCACGTGGTCAATTACTGCGTAACTAAGCATTCCTCATCATATGGCTGTAGATAGGCTATTCTTCATTTACATTCAGCCAATCTCATACATGGCCAACCTCATAAACCAAACAATGTATTTTACATAAAGCAATTGGATTAAGATTAATTGACATGATCAACTGCACACGGTCACTCATTAATGTTAAACCGGAACACCGGCGGATCTGGTTGCAGGTTGTTTGTTTTAACTCAAAGTAGAATGAAAGGCCCAGATACTGATGAGATGATGAGGTCAAAGAGCTTCAGGAAGAGGACGCTGTTTGTGTAGCGCAGCTTGACGCAGGTCTGAGCTGGGAGTGGAGCTGGGCCTGGATAAAGGTGGAGGTCTAAACAGATGTGAGTACAGCTTCCCGCTGTCACAGTATTTTAAATATATTGATAAGGCAGGGTATGCTGAATGCAGCCTCTGCTCCAAGGAGATAAACTACAGCAACAATGGCTCACGTGCCCTCTCATCACACTGCCAGACACTGTAATGACCACAGCCAGTGTCCTTCCGGTCCCAATAGTCCCACGTGCAGTTAAATCAAAGCTATTATTTTACTCTTAAGCTACCTTAGCCAGAGTAGATTATTATTTTAATTTAAATAATTGAACTGGATTGAATGCATATTAATTGCAAATAGAAGATTGGCCACAATTCTAACAGCTTTACAGTAACAGTATAAGTTAATATGAAGCCATACAGTAATGAAAACGAATCACTTTATTTGTCCAGGCGATGGTTCTCGCTACTCTTGCTATCTTTGTTTTTATATAACTACAACTTTTAAAGGTTAATAATAATAGAGCTGAAATACTGATTAATAACTGAATAATAAATTAGTTTTTTACTTAAAGTAAATGTCTTATCACTTCATTTTCTTCTCAGAGTACACCAGAATGCTACATTTTAAAGCTCATTTAAAATAAAATGCTCCTGATATGTGTGAGCATATGGCTCACACATATCTGCACTAATTTTGTTTTGTTTTGCACAGGTTGCACGTTATCGTTGTTTTGAAAACTCAGTAAAACTCTTTATTGCCAAATATTTGAACTTGTTTTGTTTAGTTTTTCACAGGTTGCACTTTTTGTTATTATCTTGAAAAGATATTCAGTGCAAAACAGGTTAATTGCAGCCACAATAAGCTATTTTTTGCCAAATATTAGTTATTTTTTGCACAGATAGAACTTCATTTGCATTGTTCTAACAAAGGGATTGCACATTGTGTTTGTTTTTGTCTGATGGAGCAATCTGGTTTACTTGAAAGTGATTGCAATTTTCTCTATTCTATTATTTGAAAAAGCACAGATGGAGGAGTCACAAAATGTTCACTAACAAGGACCACGCCAATAACAGTATGAGTTTGAGAGGTTTATTGGATAGTGGAAAGATTGTTAGATTCAAGAAGTGGAAGGGATCGAGGGATGAAATAGATATAGGGTAGGGGTATAGGGATGAAGGGGAGTAGGGTAGAGGGATGATGGGATGTGGGGGTAGGGATGAAGGGATGTGGGGGTAGGGGTCGAGGTAGAGGGATGTAGGGTAGGGGTAGAGGGATGTAGGGTAGAGGGATGAAGGGATGTAGGGGTCGAGGTAGAGGGATGAAGGGTAGGGGTCGAGGTAGAGGGATGAGGGATGAGGGGTAAGGGGCGAGGGATGAGGGATGATGGGTCGAGGGATGAGGGATGAGGGATGAGGGGTCGAGGTAGCGGGATGAGGGGATGAGGGGTAGAGGTAGAGGGATGAAGGGATGTAGGGTAGAGGGATGAAGGGTAGAGGGATGAAGGGATGTCAGGAAGAAGAAACGAGGAGGGTTTGTAGAAAGGAGGTTAGGTGATCGATGGGGGACCGTTGATGTCCGGCAACTGGCGGGAACGTGGGGACTGGACACTGTAGGGTGGGGGCCATCTCTTCGGAAGCTCTGGCGGAGCAGAGTCCACTGTTGTTCCTGTAATCCTACGAGAGAGAGAGAGAGAGAGAGAGAGAGAGAGAGAGAGAGAGAGAGAG